AGCTATTACATCACGCACTGCAAAACACTTCCCTTTCATCTTCCCCCTTCGACTTCAGTGCTCCTGCCTATATAGCTCCCCGAGAAACGCACCATCGTTTACCCTTCATTCATTCATCCAAGAAATCTCTCTCTCTCTCTCTCTCTCTCTCTCTCTCTCTCTCTCTCTCTCTCTCTCTCTCTCTCTCTCTCTCTCGATCTCGATCCCTGTCTCTATCGAACACACACACACACACAGAGTCGGTATGCTGGGAATGGAGGATTTGCTGCGTGAGCTGAGCGGAGAAGAAGGGAACGAGCAAGGGCTACCGCCAGGTTTCAGGTTCCACCCCACTGACGAAGAGCTCATCACCTTCTACTTGGCTTCCAAGGTCTTCAATGGCGCTTTCTCTGGCTTCGACATCGCCGAGGTCGACCTCAACCGATGCGAACCCTGGGATCTCCCTGGTACTTGCATACATAAATACCTATCATTTGCTTTTCCCTCTCAGCTCTTTGGGTTAGTATACCTAGGAAAGAAAATCAGCATTTGCAGATATAATCTGTACATAAAGTCTCTGCTAGAGATCGGTAATTAACTGGTTTTCAGATGAAAAGTGTCTGTCGACAGTAGTCTAGTTGAGTCATCAATGTAGCAGATCGTTGTATATACCTGGGATCAGAGAGAGCTTAAAAGGGAACGCAGTTTGCGCCTAGAAAAACGAAGAGGCCAATGGACGCACAAAACACCAAGCTATTGCATTAATTTCGTCAGGGTTGCTAACTAGAGATGTTCCTACAGCAGTAATTGCTATCGCTCTTAATTTGCTACTAGGTCTCAGCATGCATCCCCATGCAAATAAAAGTTAGTAGTTTTACTTGCAATAAACCCTGGAAGATGAAGTCAGCATCTCCACATCAATGAGATTTTTGTTTTGCTTTATTATTCAAACCATTAGCTTCCACTTAGTGAATTTGTAATCTTCAAGCCTAAAGATGAAAATAAATTTTTGGCAAGGACATTTCTCCACCTTCCTCATTTATGGACTTGACTCATCCCCCTCATATGCCTTAGCTACTAACATTACTATCACTATGAGATCGTTAATTATTAGTTTCGTTTCTTTTCTTGAAAATACCATATTACTAGTTACGAGAGACTGCTGCACTAACGTTTTAGGGCCTCTAAGAAAGTCGATAAACTCTGGATGAATATGTAGTGATCATGTTCGCACACCAAATAACTTATTATTGAGCTTATTTTTATTTTTTGCCAAATGTGGTGGTGCGCTACTAAATTTATATACATTACTAGCAATATGGAGAATTTGCTAATGTCAATCACTTATTATTCTGATGATTCATGCTTCAAAAACTGATCAGACATCATAATTTGTTCTATAACTCACGGTGTCCATGTTGTGTGAAGTGTGAACCTATTTGTTTCTTAATGACGTCGAATGTTCGAGCCTCTTAACATTTCGTGAACACTCGACCTATCAGAGGTGGCAAAGATGGGGGAGAGAGAGTGGTACTTCTTCAGCCTTCGAGACCGCAAGTACCCGACGGGGCTCCGGACAAACCGGGCCACCGGCGCCGGCTACTGGAAAGCCACGGGAAAGGACCGCGAGGTCCACAGTGCCGCCACCGGGGCACTCCTCGGCATGAAGAAGACGCTCGTCTTCTACAGAGGCCGAGCCCCCCGCGGCGAGAAAACCAAGTGGGTCATGCACGAGTACCGCCTCGACGGCCATTTCTCCTGCCGTCACACGTGCAAGGTACGACAGACCCTCCCCTCCTCGCACGTGCGGCCGTGTGGATCCAGTTATGATTTTTTCGCTCTTTCTATGTTTGTCCTTTTCTGGGTTGACTTGTTGTGTGAATTGATAATCAACAATGAATTGATGGGTTTCACAATCTTTCACCCCCTCGGGGGATTTCGGATTTGATATGATGGGTCTTGGTTTTCACAAACCCACAGGGACAATCTTCTGTTGTTTCTTTTACCCTAGGTTAAGGAAGTTTTTTACTATACAGTAGCTTAATGAGTTTTGACAATAAGTGAGACGAAATTTTGTTGATGTGGACACCGAAAACACCTTGCAATTTTCTAAGGAGCAACTATCAGGGAGCGCTAACGAAAGCCATACGTGCATATTTCAATTAAAGAGAAGAAGTCAGTTTTACATGCGTGTTAACATTATATTGCTCAAATTTGGAAAAGTTACCTTTTAAGAATGGCGGGGAAGCAAATGAAATTCTTCATTGGCAATTTGTATTCGTATGATAGGAATTAATTTATGAAGTGGGAGTTGTCTTTTTGTCCCATTTCGGCAGGATGAATGGGTCATTTGCCGGATATTTCACAAGACAGTGGAGAAGAAGAGCCTGCTCTTCCAAGGTCAAAATTACATGCTTGAAGCTTGTTGTTCACCCCCTAGCACTGGTTCTTTGCCTCAGCTTCTTGAAACCCCAATTACATCAACGCCACCACCGAACCCTCTACTGGAGCATCAATCTCAGGCCAATAATTACCAAAACCAAACCCAACCTTTTCTGATTCACCAAAGAGACACTGATCTCAAAACCCTAATGAACAACCCATTTGTCCCACTAATGCCCGATCTTCAAGCACCCTCGTTTTCACCCACAATCACCGTCACCACCCACAGAGACTCGTACAACAACACAGACACCAAAAACATCATCGTCACCCCATCCCTAGTCTCACCATCATCGATGCTCTTCAAGTCCCTCCTCTCACATCAAGACCTTTTCACAGCTACTAATTTGAAGGAACACCAACAGCACACTATGCTCAACCAGTGCAAGACAGACACCAACTTTTCCCATTTCCAGCTAAATGTTGATGATGGTGATGATGCCGATGGCTTGCACAGTGTCGTGGACAAGATTCACCACGTCCCATTTCATCAAAATCACCAAAACCCCGTGCTTTTTGAGATGGACACTCACACCACGACTACATCTTCTGTTCCAAACAATAATAATGCGCCTCATGGCCACACTGTTCATCATGAGATGTCCACGTCAACAATGGCTTTCAACAGGGTCGGGCCGTCCTTTCAGATGCTGGCGGATGCTGCCATCAGAGAATCCTGGCCGTTGGATCCTTGAGAGAGAGAGAGAACTCCAGTATTTCTTTAGCCACTGTTCTCTCTCTCTCTCTCTCTCTCTCTCTCTCTCTCTCTCTCTCTCTCTCTCATGTAATGTAATTTATATAGTTTTTAGAAATTTCATAGTTGTAATCAGAAAAGGGAAATGCGCGGTTGTGATATGGGGAACCTCAAACTTTATGCGTGTGTTTCTCTGTACTGTTCTGCTGCAAAAATGCAAAAACTGCCATCGGGTCACATTGGTCCTACATTGCATATCCATGCACCTAATCTTTGTAGATTTGGGAGATTTCCTGCCACACGTACTGATGGTGGGAGATTTGAGCTTCGGGAGTTAGTAGCAGCGGTGCAGTTTTTCTTGATATTTTTAAAGTAAGCGATCGGTTCTGGTGAGTTTCTTCATGTGGGTGAACATGAATAAATTTGCACAGGTATTTTTGATGTGACGCCAGTGGGTGAGATTGGAGGGATTTTTTTGCCATAAACGGGATGACGTAAAGATTTTAACTGTGATTGAGCATGGGAGGAGCAGGGGGGACCCGCATGTGCATGCATGTGCAGCGATGGACGGCAATGGTGCGGTTCCCGCAGTTCCAATGCGAAGGGCTTTCGGGGAGACGCGAAGGGGGGGGTGGTGGAGGTCCCACGACATGACACGACATCGTTTGGTAAAGCCATGTTGTTGTTGAGGGAAAATTACGAATAAGAGGCATGAAGTAAAGTCCCTCTCCAAAATGGACTTAAAATGGACTTTATCTTAAATTGTCTAAGTTAGTTTCAAATAAGAGTTTGAACTCGTAGGCGGGCGAAATCCTTATCAGTTGGCGAGTTTTCAGCCCCCCAAAATTGAGGCCATTTTGTTCAAAAAAATTCTATGTTGAAAATAACCAAATCCCTAAAAACAAAAAATCCCCAACATCTGTTTCCTTCCGGTGAGCAATTCCTCCGCCACCGCCGCAGTAGTAAAAATCATAAGGAGGGTCTTCATTGACTGGGTTCGAGAGATGGAATTCGAGTCGCGTCGCTACACCGTCAATCCTATAGCTTCGAAGTCCATAGAGAAAATCGAGACCGCGCCTACGAAGCAAAGATCGGAGCCTTCCTCCTCCTCGAAGCAGCCCTCGGTGAAGCGCAAGGTCGAAATGGAGGACTTGAAGGACTCAAATAAGGGGAAGAAGAATGACGTTGCTGAGAATGGGTCCTTTGCAGAGATCTGGGGAGGAGTCGAAGAAGCCGATGTACCAGAGGATATGGGGTTTGGCCGGCCAGCAAATTCAATCCCTTATTTAAGATAAAATCCACCTTTAGCTCTCTTTTGAGAAAATGACATACATAACACGAACAACGTTGATGGAGATAATTTTTGCATTTTTTATAATTTTTTATATTTTTCTCTTTTCTTTTTTTCTTTTTCTAAGCGGCCCTTGCCAGACTTAGTAGAAAAAGCAAAGGAAAAGAAAAAAGAAAAAAATTATGAGGAATTTTGTAAATTAAAAAAAATACAAAAAAATTGTCTACGTCAGAGATTTTCGGTCAAAATTGGCAAATTGTCAAAATATTTAAGACTAAAATAATATCCACACAATAGGTTTATGACTCTCTTTTTAAAATATTCTAAGAAAGAAAGAAAATAAAGCAATTGGTACGTCTACTAATGTCCTCATTCTCGCGGATCTTCAAGGATTTGTCTATTTGCTGCATGTTTCCGGTAATCTTATGTGATGCATGAAGTTCTCAGGGTGCGCGGTCAAACCCTGATAAATCTAATGACGATAAGATACAATAATCTAGTACATGTAACGAGACCGAGAATAAATTAGATATCAGATATATGACACTTGAGAATATAATATAGGAATCACGCTTGTTCTATTGTACTTTCTTTTTTTCTTTTGGGGGTAATTCTATGAATTTGATTGCTACCAAAGAAGAGGGAGGACTACACCCTCCTACTACAAGCCCAATTGAAACAAAACAAAAATTTCAAAGCCCAAATGTCTCCTAAAACCCAATCCAAAAGGAATGCCCTCTTAATCTCAGCCCAGAAGAGCACCACAACTAACTATAGAGAAACCTTCCAAGCTTTCGAGTCTCTTTTGATGCCTAAATCTCTAACCAAAGATGGAATCTACCTTAGTACATTCCCATTGTCTTTGTCAGATAATTGGTTCCATCAAACAGGAAGTTTCCTTCTTGCTTGCAATTCACAATGGAAAATGACAACGACACGTCGTAGTACAAACTATGTTGCTACTGCTAGTACAAACTTCATGAATTCGATCATAGTCGTAGGTAAGAACTTGAATCACGAAAGTGCTAAATCATCCTATATAATAGGATAGTCGTGGCCATCTCCTATCCTTAATATTCGACCCTAGCACGAACTACTATTCGTGGCAGGAGGCCAAGGCTACATCCTAAATATCTTAAGACGAAACGTGTTTGTTCTCAACCCCCAACACGTTGATGTCCGAGAGGCCGCTCCCGGAGAGCGTGGGAGCATCGGTGCCGCCACCGCCTTGGCCGGGCTTGGGCTCGAGATGGCCTTGGGTGCCGTAAGCTTTGTTCTTGTAGTCCTCCAGATCCGTGTATTTCACATAGGGACTGCTTTCCAAGGGAAGAAGCCCTTCTAACGATGCTTTATTTTCTCCACCCTTTTCAGGAGATCGAGTCATTTGCTCGCTGCCACTAGAGCTCATCATCTTCTTGTTTCTCTCGGATTTGAGGTGGCCTCTTTAGTTTGAGAAATGCTCGTGATCTTGTGTCAAGCTACTTATAAGCATGGAAGGAGGATTTCTTTTTCTTTTTCTTTTTCTTTTTTTTGTTCTAATTTGTTATTTTTGCGAGGGGAAGACCTAATTTAGCGAGTGTCAGACTTGTTCAACACCCTTTATTAAACCGAGGGCCATCCTTGTATGTCTCTAGAATCACCAATTTCAAGTGTCGATTGCACCACTCAAAAAATGGATTTTGAACAATTCTTGACCGTGGGTTGGATGCACCATTGTTTCCTTTGAAGTAACAGAAGTCCATTTGAAGAAAGCTCAATCACACTGGATGCACAAAACCAATGTTCATTGTTGCAAACTCTAACGAATTTCTTGATGTACAGTTCTTTTGTGCTTAACCTTTTTTTTTGTCGAACCTTTGTGCTTAACTTAGTATTTAAAATCTCAATGGATTCGTCCTAATCCGTCTCATCATGTGAGCAAAGCAACGGATGTTTACGTGGTAAAAAATTCAGAGAGAGACTCTTTCATTAACTATGGAAACGACCTTTTCATTTTGGAATTGTCCAAGAACATCTTGATTCATCAGGAACCATAAAAATCCCGCTCGTCAGAGAGAAAGAGATCCATAAATTAACTTGCTCGGGGTATTATCCGCTTTGATCCGTCCAATATCGAATTTTGTCCTTTGGCGTACAGGTGGGTATCTTTCCAGTTAGTCACCCATCCTAGGAGTACTTCCATTTGATACGCTTCCAAAATTAAGTATTGCCGTTACATCAAAATGCATTTCTGAGTTTATTCCAATTTTTATATATATATATCTCAGAATCGCTATCGCCATGTTTAGTACATAGTTCGGATCATTTTTGCCTCCTTCGTCATTCTAAAAGCATATCAGGAGCCGCTCCTTGTCTAGATCCTCTGGCTCCGATAACCATTCATCGCCCTCGGTCATTAGAGAGAGAGAGAGAGAGAGAGAGAGAGAGAGAGGCAGCATGCAATGGGAACATAACGAAGAGAGTCCGGACACGAGAGCATGCAAGGCGACAACTTTCTTAGTCTCTCGCTCTCAGACTTACAAAACCAGAAGGTGAGAGCGAAAAAGGTTAGAAGTGGGCATTGGTATGGGAGGTTTTGTTGGAAAACTATGAACTGGAAAGTGGTCAGGAGCAACCGCAATTAATTTCTCTGGGGAAATGCTTGGTTAACGGCACCGTTACATTTGAAAAAGGGACGGTGCCTTCCCAGCCTTCCAATTTCTCAAGGAAACAGGTTAAATTGTTCACCCGGTTTCCTACAAAAATTTGGAAGGAAATTGTCTCCTAATGGGATGACCGTGAGATTCCTTCTATGATAAAAATAAAATAAGGAAAGTGATTAACGTGAAGAAAATCATTAAAATACCTATGACAATACAAAAATTATGATTCGTAACTATTAGCACGATCACTAATTGAGTGACCATGATCAAGAGCTCAAATCGAGCAACCATGGCCTCGAGCTTCTTGGCTCGAAAAGATCTATAGGCCATGATCACTATGAACTTCGTGACTTGAGTCCATGACCGTTGCAAGCTCCTACAAGCTCGAGTGGCTGTGGAGTTCATAAACTTGAGCTTGAACATTTATGGTTGACAGAAGTTGGAGCTTGAGCCCGCGCTATGGTAGTTGTGATGGTACCCCTCTCTATATCTCTTAATTTTGTTTTCATTTATGTTGTTTTATGTGGTGTTTATCTTAATATTCCATGACAACCATATTAAGGTAATGAAGTGATGTCGGTGGAAAATCAGGTCTATGGCTAACCGTTCGGTAAAAAGAATAAACTTTAAAAAAATTGAAAATCCAATATATCTATATTATGTGCGCATTGGGTATTTAGTATGCTTTATTTATGAATTCTTAAATATCATTGATTTTATTTCGGAACAATATTCCACCATCTAAAATTTGCAGTCAATTTCCTCTTGGATTTCCTTTTCTTGAATAATGTCATTAGATTTGTTTCTTTAAATATTTACACAAATGCAAGGCCATGATTTTCTATTCCGGTTGCCCATAGTAGACAAGGTAAAACAAATGGCTCAAGTTGCACCGTTACTTATCAAATGTAACGGTGCCGTTAGCCAAGCATTTCCCATTTCTCCGGGACCTCATTTCTCTTCTTCCTCTTCTTCTTTTCTCTTTCCTTCAGCTGTCTCTTTCTACTCATGCATCGACAGGACAAAACACGCTCTTCCCTTATCCTTCACACATTCACTACTACACCCCAGATGCGAAGTCGCCTGGTTCTCAAGGCCCAGCATTGGCCACACCGATCAGCCATCACGACACATCATCATGCTAATGTTCTCCACCTCAAGACCTTTGAGCCACATAAACTCATCTTATCCTGCCACTCCTTGCTTCAACCTCTAATTGACATCATCGTCGTCCATACCATTCCTCAGTTCAGACCCATCTTTCGCAGCCCTACCACCTTCTCGTCTTGCCCTTTCTCTCATGCTCCAATGGCAGCAGAACACTCGGAAAGGAGGAACTCCAATACCCAACTGCTGGAGGAGCTAGAAACACTCAGCCAATCACTTTACCAGTCCCATGCCTTGGCCAATCGCCGAACCGCCTCCCTCGCGCTCCCCAGGACATCGGTCCCCTCGATCCCTGCCCCCGATGATGTCGCCCCCGGGAAGGTCGAGGACAAGCCAGGGGCACGGCCACGGTCGAGGCGCATGTCCCTGTCGCCCTGGCGCTCGAGACCGAAGCTTGATGACGATGGCGGCGAGCAGAAGGATCAAGCCAGAGTTTCGACTCAGAGAGAGTTGAAGAAGCTGGATGATAAGCCGGGCTCGGTCGAGAAGAAAGGGATTTGGAACTGGAAACCAATTAGAGCTCTGTCGCACATTGGTATGCAGAAACTGAGCTGCTTATTCTCTGTGGAAGTGGTCACTGCACAAGGCCTCCCGGCATCAATGAACGGTCTGCGCCTCTCGGTCTGCGTTAGGAAGAAAGAGACCAAGGAGGGAGCGGTCCACACAATGCCCTCTCGGGTCTCACAGGGAGCTGCCGATTTCGAAGAGACTTTGTTTGTGAAGTGTCATGTGTACTGCACTCCTGGCAATGCAAAGCAGTTAAAATTTGAGCCCCGTCCGTTTTGGATATACATGTTTGGGGTCGATGCCAAAGAGCTTGATTTCGGCAGGAGCTCGGTTGATCTGAGCCAACTGATTCAGGAATCCGTGGAGAAGAATTACGAAGGCACGCGGGTGAGGCAATGGGACATGAGCTTCAATCTATCAGGAAAGGCCAAAGGAGGCGAGCTTGTTTTGAAATTAGGATTCCAGATAATGGAAAAGGATGGAGGAATTGGAATTTACAGTCAGGCCGAAGGATCAAAAGTAGAGAAGTCAAGGAACTTCTCATCTTTTGGCCGCGCGCAGTCGAAGACGTCTTTTAGCATACCGAGCCCGAGGATGCAGAGCCGTTCCGAAGCTTGGACTCCTTCCCAAGTAGGGAAGACTGAGGAAATTCAAGGAATGGATGATCTGAATCTTGACGAGCCGGCCCCAGCTCCTTCGACTTCCTCCTCAGTGCAGAAATCCGAAGAACCTGAAGCAAAGATGGAAGATCTTGATATGCCAGACTTCGAAGTCGTGGACAAAGGAGTTGAGATACAGGACAAAGAAGATACTGGGGGTGCAGAATCTGAAGAAACCGGTGAAGAAAGATCAGCATCGAGCGAGGTTGTTAAGGAAGTTGTACATGACCAGTTGCATATCTCCAGATTAACCGAACTTGACTCAATTGCTCAGCAGATAAAAGCACTCGAATCCATGATAGCAGAAGAGAAGGTGCTGAAAATAGGGGATGAAACAGAGACTGAGTCACAGAGATTGGACGCCGAGGAAGAAACGGTAACGAAGGAGTTTCTTCAGATGCTTGAGGACGAAGAACAAAACGAATATAAGCTGAGCTTACCAGAAATTCCCCCGTTGCAGCTTGAGGGAGACGATGATGCTTCGGAGTCAGAGTCCAAAGTGTACCTCCCGGATCTTGGAAAAGGCTTGGGCTGTGTAGTTCAAACAAGGAATGGAGGTTACCTAGCCGCCATGAATCCCCTTGATGTAGCAGTTGCAAGAAAAGACACTCCCAAGTTAGCAATGCAGATGTCGAAGCCATTGGTTCTTGAATTGCAAAATTCAGCAAGCGGCTTTGAATTATTCCAGAGGATGGTGGCCACGAGCACCGATGAACTGAGCTCTCAATTTATGTCCTTAATGCCCATGGATGAGCTCATTGGAAAGACGGCCGAGCAGATAGCCTTCGAGGGTATAGCTGCCGCGATCATCCAAGGTCGGAATAAGGAAGTTGCCACCTCCAGTGCCGCACGAACAATTGCTGCAGTGAAGACAATGGCTACCGCTATGAGCACAGGAAGGAAAGAGAGAATCTCAACAGGGCTTTGGAATGTGAATGAGAATCCACTTACCGCGGAGGAGATCCTGGCCTTCTCTATGCAAAAGATCGAAGCCATGACGATCAATGCTCTGAAGATTCAAGCCGAAATGGCTGAGGATGAAGCCCTGTTCGACGTCTCTCCGCTTTATGGCAATCAACATCCCCTGACATCTGCTGTCCCTCTCGAGGACTGGGTGAAGTCCAGTGGATCCACGCCTTCAACATCAATAACACTAGCAGTAATTGTTCAGCTGCGTGATCCTTTGCGGCGGTATGAGGCCGTTGGAGGCCCTGTGGTGGTGCTAATTCACGCCATAGAAGCAGAAGTTAAAGGTAATAGGGATGCCAAAGAAAGCAGATACAAAGTGACAAGTTTACATGTTGGAGGGTTGATGGTGAAGACAGGAGGAAAGAAGAACATGTGGGATAGTGAGAAGCAGAGGCTAACAGCCATCCAGTGGTTGGTGGCCTATGGGTTCGGAAAGCCCGGCAAAAAGATGAAGCACGCATCATCCAAGAGCCAAGATATGTTGTGGAGCATCTCCTCGAGAGTAATGGCCAATATGTGGCTCAAACCAATGCGGAATCCAGATGTGAAGTTTGCCAAGTGAGAATTTTGTTATTTTTAAGGAGAGTTGTTTCCCTAGTATCTAGGACATGATCCATGTCTAGGAAGGCAAATGTGTATTCATGAAGATAAGTGGCTTGTGCATAAGACATTAGGAAGGTCGGTTAACTTGTCCTGCCAAATAAGCAGCCTTACATTTGTATTCAGATTAAAGATTGAATAAGAATTGCCAAATAAGAGATTTTGACCAGATCATTGAAGCTATTCTCCAGTTGATGATCTTTAGGATACTGGTGCTACTGCATAAGAGGCATTTATACTTCATCTATAGCTCAGAAAGAATTCCATTTCACGATGAGTACAATGTATCACAGAGCTGTTCAATAACCGGAATATATGACAGAGGAAAGCAATACTATCCCAAAATCTAATTTAGCCGCCATCTCCACTACTGTGCACCGTCGCCTCCAGAAAAAACACTTGTAAACTACCTTCCTTTACTGAAAGGAAGACATCTGCAAGTGCAAACCAAAATGAAATGCATGATTGGGGAGGGCATGAGGATGGGAAATTTCTGAAAACCAAAAACTAACGCTGCTACCCTCCACAGGGTTGGTGGAGTGGTAAGGGCTTTGGGCTTGTGGGTGACTGATCTCAAGTTCGAATCCCTCTGCCCTCCACATTATCACACCCTTGACTGATATGTGGAGGCTAGTCTGTGAGTTTGGCTAGTTCTCTCCCGGTTAGTACTTGGCCGGTTAGACTCTTGTAATGCGGTCGGTGCGGGAGTCCGGGTCATCAAAAAAAAAAAAAAAACTAACACTGCTAGAACTTGAGTCCACTTGAGAGAACTCGAACTTGTTGACAACACAACTGCTAAACCCGGTCAGTGAACATAAGCATCCTTTCCTCTAGAAACCATGGGTTTCCCATTGCATAAGCATCATGTGGTGTCATCAAACTCCAGAAAACAGAGTCCCCTCGGCTCATTTTCTCAGACACCTTGTCCTCCTCTGTATTCAACCAAAATCAGCATAAGTGCACAGCCCACTCACCATCATGTTCCTAGCTAATAAACTCAGACCCCAACAACTGGTATCAATCCTTCTCTTATATGCAAGCCAGGGCACTGTTCAGGTCCAGCTACCGAGTCGAAACCGTTGAACGTTAATCAATAATATTTCGCTGCAAACGATATGTACGTATAGATGCATGTACCTTGGATTTTAAAATCAGAGGAAGTTTGGTAAGCCAGTATTTAATTTGTTGGTGGGCAATTTCCGAGAGATTAACACGACATGTTCATCACGGTAGATATCGACCGGGATTCATAAAATCTTGAAAAACAACACTTTTAGCCCACCCAATGATGCATACAGTACGATGTTTCGCACCGATGCAACTCGAGTTTGGCGTGTGAATACGAATTGCTAGCCCCCATGTATTGAGCTGGACGTACGATTTCTACACGTGTACACAATGACACACAGGGTCCTAAGTATGAACAAGATCTGGACGAGGAGGAAACAGAAGAAAGAGAATCGAACATATTGGAACGTCACGAGATCAAGTGGACGCTGTATACGTGGACGGTGCCAGATCGAGAGGTGAGTGCGTGGTGACCCTTGCGCCAGATATGATTCCCCTGGTTACAAGAAATTAGAGATGCGACATAGATATAACTTTTCTTTTTGCCATAACTATCCATCAAGTCGGTCTATGTTAGGACGACCTGAGGATGATTATGGCCAAGAATCTCCCAATCATTGCACTTGTGTAGCAACGTTTACTGCTCAAATCAAGTTATGCCGGATTCGAATTTTATGCAAAGATTAGCTCTCTATAAGTCAGATGGATCGATGGTTATGATTACAAAGACCTTCTGTCGATTAAGTAGTTAAAAAAGGGCATAATTCAACTAACGTGATCCTTCTGGAGATATCAACTTGGGGATTCGTCTGATGTTCAGAGACGATTAAGGAAAAAGAGCAAAAGCACGGGAATTTGATGTCATTTTTCACTTTTGCTCTAAACTCGAAGGGAATATAGCGTAAACGCGATTACTATAGTTTCATTTGGTCCAATAATTGCATGGTGAAGCATGTCCTGCCCATTTTACAGGAACAAAAAGGAAGTAAAAAGGCAAATCGATCAAGGCGAAACTCTTGGTATAAGTAGAGATTATAAGCATGTGGGCCAACCACCAGTTGAGCAAACAAGATGATGCAGGTGGACCGAAGGGATCCAATTGCGTGAGAGATCAATAATTCCACATGGAAGGGGTTCCATACCGGTGGGTCAACGGTCCTTGCCAGTTGCAAGAACTTACACGAGTACAATTTGACCCGGACCTACGGTTTTACTCGGAGAAAAACTTCCTCCAACCACCTTTCTAACTGATAAGTTACGGTCACGAACGTTGCTCGTATTTATGTTTAGTTGATTCTGCGCGTGACTGATGTCCACAAATCGCAACCCATCAAGCAAAGAGGTGGTTGGAGAAATTCTTACCAACCTGAATTGGGAGAAGAATACAGCATGTTATTTGTATAATCAATTCCAACTTTTCAGCAAACAATAATCTGAGCGATGTGTTTGTTACTTAAAGAAGAAATTAAAGGAAATATAGTTTTACGTTTTACTTAAAATTCAAGATATTATTTAGTTTAAAAAAGAAGAAATCAAAGGAAATATAGTTTTACGTTTCGGCAAACAATAATCCGAGTGATGTGTTTGTTACTTAAAGAAGAAATTAAAGGAAAATATAGTTTTACGTTTTACTTAAAATTCAAGATATTATTTAGTTTTAGAAAGTATGAAAAAAGTTATACGAATTTTCATGGTAATACAAGCATATTTTGAAAGGTTTTGAGCATTTTACATTAAAAAAATCTAAGGTACACCGTGAGATTTTGAAATCTAATAAAAGCGAAAAGTGAAAGGCACTTCAAAAAGGATACAGATATTATGTCGGATCAAATTTTTTCTTCCATTGATAGGAATATTTTAGTTTATATGTTGGTGATCTTCGTATCTTATAAAAGTGCTCCGATAGGAAATTTTCTTGGAAAATGTCGATGCAAAGAAAGAGGAATTTCTTCTCCGTACTTGAATATCTAGATTAAGTGCATCGCAATCGTTTATTTTAGAGATAATGACACAACTAGTCTCTGAATTTTGACTTAATATGCAATATAGTCTCTAAACTTTTAATTTGTTTAGTTTGATTCCTGCAATTTTAGTACTTGTTCAATGTAGTTTATGATCTTAGCTTAATGGAAGGACTACATTGAACATTTTTATATAGTTTAGAGACTAAATTGAACATGTACAAAAAATTCAGGAATTACATTATACAGATTAAAATTTCAGGGATCATATTATATATTTGGCTAAATTTCAGGGACTATTTGTACCTATTTCCCTTTATTTTATGGGTTCCACGAGTATGTCCACGGGCATTTCACAAAACTAACGGCGGTGAATGTAGTTGACTTACCGGATCGGAGATCAGGCAAAGGAATTTTCCAAAGAAAAAGAGGGTAAGATTTTGCAAATCTAGCAATTTACGTAAGCAAAGCAGAAACATGCCACGTAAGTGGAGACAATTGGACAGACCAAAAGTCCCTTCCTAAGTTTCCAACTAGCGCAGAAATTGAAGAAAGATATCTTTTTGTCTTCTTCCCTCGGGGGCGACGCTGGAACTTGTTGAGTGAATACACTGCACGTACGCAGGATCGTTTGTTTTCTTGCTCGACTGTTGAAATTGACTGTGCTCGTACTGCGATATCGCGTGGAAAAACGACCGACGGATAAAACACTTCGATCGTTCTCGACTGCTGGGGATCATTTGGAGGCATCGAGATTCGCGTGGCGACTGTGGGCTGCCGTTGCTTTTCCCTGACGTCCCATAAAGAACATTCTTCCTCGCCATATTCGAAGTCTCTCAAGAGTGCTTAGCTCTGCATTTTGCAGCTGTTCCGACTTTGGATGAGTGTAATGTCATCGTTTTCTAAGTGATTCTTTTTTCCATTTTTCTGTTCTTGAGTTCTTTTGGTGTTTCTGGCTCTGGAGCACTCTTCTCTTGAAGAATCGAGAGTCTTTAACTTTGTGTGCAAAGCTGATGAGGCTTGAGCGGGAGATGATGATCTGGTGAGCTGAAACGGGTGTGAGCGATTACCTGGCGAATTTTTTTGAAGTGGGCTTAGTTGCAGGAGTTTGTGGAATGAATGGTTGCTAACCAAGTTCGCTCTTTGAGTTCGTACAAAGGAGACAAGAATTCCCTTAATTATCTCTTCAATCTCAGTCTTGCCGTTTTCATCTATTGCACGTCTGCTGGGATACTTTAAAACGAAGCATAAGATTCGTTAGAGTTTGCAATCCATTTAAGTCTTGGCCTGCAAAAGGGTAATTATGGTTGATTGATTCGTGAGCATCGGACAACGCTGATTCGTGTTTCTGCCGAGCCGAATTTGAGTTTTGAGTTCTTGATTTTGTTGGTGATAAAATGAAAGGAGCTGTCTTTGTGGCCCTTGCTGCAACAATTGGTAATTTCCTCCAAGGATGGGACAATGCCACCATTGCAGGTAGTCACAGCTTACTATGCAGGATGAATGTTGAATTATTTTATTTCAAGAGAACCTTTGAAGTTATTGGCAGTTCTCACAAGAATGTAAATGTATGGTGTGCTGTAGATGTCTGTTGGCATTTGAACTGACAAAATTTTCCTTTCTTTTTTTTTATTCTCCTTGATGTTATCCTGCAGGAGCTATAGTCTACATAAAAGAAGACCTTGACTTGGGATCAACTGTAGAGGGCCTTGTTGTGGCTGTGTCGCTCATTGGAGCCACGGTCATAACTACATGCTCAGGGCCTGTATCAGATTGGCTTGGTCGCCGCCCAATGCTTATCATGTCATCTATTCTGTATTTCATTAGTGGCTTGGTGATGCTATGGTCCCCCAATGTCTACGTTTTATGCTTAGGAAGATTGTTAGATGGATTTGGAATCGGTCTTGCCGTTACTCTCGTCCCGTTGTATATATCTGAGACTGCCCCAGCTGATATTAGGGGATTGCTCAATACTCTTCCACAGTTCATGGGTTCGGGTGCAATGTTTTTGTCATACTGTATGATATTTGGGATGTCTCTGTCAGCTTCACCTAGCTGGAGAATAATGCTCGGGGTTCTTTCGATTCCATCAGTTATTTACTTTGTGTTCACGGTTTTTTTCTTGCCTGAGTCCCCACGGTGGCTTGTAAGTAAAGGGAAGATGGTCGAGGCAAAACAAGTTCTCCAGAGACTACGTGGGAGGGAAGATGTTTCAGGTTCATCTCCGTGTTCTTGCTTTCTAAGCTTAATAAAGATCATTGTGCTAGATTAATAAGACTAGTGTTTATAGATAGTACCAGAGGCTCATTGATTTGATTGGTTCTGTACGATTCTCAAGACATCAATGAGCGGCACCAGCTTGTATGCTGGCTGAACACATTTGGCACTTAATACGTTCTCCTTTTTGGCTGATTAATAAAGATAAGAAGCATGTCCAATAATGGTACAGGTGAGCCTTGTAGAAGCTTGCATTTAGTGGACCTGCCAAGTTGGCCAGCTCCTGCTCATCGCCGGCACGGATTGTCCTGTTTTTAAGGACATGTAGTCAATTAAAAATGTGTGCCCCAGGATTGAGTGACGTTATCCTCGTCACGAATATGGAATTTCAATGCAGTGGGAGAATTAAAGATGGATCCTTATGTTTTCTCACCATGGCAACCATTCGATAGCTTTCATCTTCAATTCAGCCTCCCATATACTCTTCAAATTACTCATCTACAAGTGATTCACATGGCTCCATGACAGGCCATGACTTATGCACTGGCGATGCATGATTGCTATAATCTAACATGCACATCTAGCTTTGACGCATGCAGATGTTCTGCAGCATAATATGCATTTAGTGGAAATAAGCTTTTCATGCCGATGAAGTCAATCCTAGAGTAGATAAAGAAGCATCACAAAAGATTTATCAATTAATCAGCCTGGCTAATATAGACGTTCTGACATTTTTTTACTAGGTTTGGCATGCCCTCCTTTCCTAGGCTGAATTGGTTGGAGATTAGTATATCTGTTGTACCTGCCATTCCCTGATTAGATGAATATCTTTGGCCTCTTTTCATAGATCTTGCTGAAATATTTTACAGGTGAGATGGCTCTATTAGTTGAAGGTCTTGGAATTGGTGGTGAAACATCAATAGAAGAATACATGATAGGTCCCGCTGATGAGGCTGATGATCACGAGCCATCTGCCGAAAAAGGCAGGATCAAATTATATGGACCTGAAGAAGGTCTCTCCTGGGTTGCTAAACCTGTGGCTGGACAGAGTTCTCTTGCCCTTATCTCCCGCCAGGGAACCATGACTAACCAAAACGTGCCTCTTATGGACCCTTTAGTTACTCTCTTTGGCAGTGTCCACGAAAAGCTTCCCGAGACAGGAAGCATGAAAAGCATGCTTTTCCCTAATTTCGGCAGCATGTTCAGTACAACAGCGGACCCTCATGTTAAAGACAAGGAGTGGGATGAAGAGAGTGTGCAAAGGGAAGAAGGCGAGGATTATGCTTCCGAGGCTGGTGGAGGGGACTCTGATGAGAATTTGCACAGTCCACTGATCTCGCGCCAAACAACAAGCATTGAGAAGGAAGTGGGCCCTCCTGCTTCACACGGAAGTATTCTGAGTACAAGGCGCCATAGTAGTCTGATGCAAGGAACAGGGGAGCAGGTTGGAAGCACGGGAATTGGTGGCGGCTGGCAGTTGGCGTGGAAATGGACTGAGAGAGAAGGCGAGGATGGGAAAAAAGAGGGAGGATTTAAGAGAATCTATTTGCACGAGGAGGGAGTTCCGGGGTCACGACGTGGTTCCCTTGTTTCGCTTCCTGGGGTTGATGTCCCTGCTGAAGATGAATTTGTCCCAGCTGCTGCTTTAGTTAGCCAACCTGCTTTGTATTCTAAGGAACTTATGGATCAGCATCCACTAGGACCAGCTATGGTTCATCCATCTGAAACCGCCTCGAAGGGTCCAATTTGGGCCGCTCTTCTTGAACCAGGAGTGAAGCATGCATTATTTGTTGGGATGGGAATACAGATACTTCAGCAGGTATCATCATGTGGTTTCATTTAAGTCCATTTCTTGCTGCTTTTTTTTATAAGCTCTCATTTGGGTAACAATAAACCTCAACAAAGGTTTTTCACGAGAACTTTCTTAACACCATCGATCCATGTAATCTGCACTATGGTTAAGCTTTCTTATTCCGGGGACATGGAGTCATTAACCTGATGGCAATATGCATTCTCTATGTTTGCAATAAGTCTGTAGGCATCCATCTTCCATTGTTTGGTCCAGTTCTGGGATCAAGTAAATGACCCTATGGTTTGTCTGGATCTTCGTATTTGGTCCTTCCTCAATGGCAAATTGCAACAAGCCAAAGCTTTTATTGTTTTAGCAAGTCATGTATAAATGGGATCATGAATTTGACATTGAGCATTGCTGACACGCTTATAATACAGTTTTCTGGAATAAATGGAGTTCTCTACTACACTCCTCAAATTCTTGAAGATGCTGGAGTTGAAAATCTTCTTGCAAACCTAGGGATCAGCTCAGAATCCGCGTCATTTCTTATTAGCGCATTCACGACTTTCTTAATGCTACCATGTATAGCTGTGGGCATGAGGCTTATGGATACCTCTGGAAGAAGGTAAACATCTCTCTCTCTCTCTCTCTCTCTCTCTCTCTCTCTCTCTCTCTCTCTCTCTCTCTCTCTCTCTCTCTCTCTCTCTCTCACCGATTTTTGAGGAACAGGACACTGGACTTGATGGCATATCTACGTTCCTCTATAATTTCATGAAATATGGAGATGTTCCAACTTTTCACCTCTTTATTTTTGGTGGTGTTACAATCAATCAATTTGCATTGATGCAGGACGCTCCTTTTGACTACGATTCCGGTGCTCATCGTGACACTTGTAGTATTAGTAATCGTCGAACTGGTGGGTTCGAGCTCGGTGGTCAGCTCCTTGATTGCGACCATTTGTGTGGTGGTCTACTTCTGCTGCTTCATGACGGCTTATGGTCCTATTCCAAATATCCTGTGCTCTGAGATATTCCCCACAAGGGTGCGCGGTCTCTGCATCACAATATGTGCATTAGTCTTCTGGATAGGAGACATCATCGTGACCGATACGCTGCCTGTGTTGCTCGATTCGATCGGCTTAGCTGGCATCTTCGGCATTTATGCCGTCGTGTGCGTCATATCTTGGGTCTTCGTCTTTTTAAAAGTTCCGGAAACCAAAGGCATGCCTCTTGAAGTCATCACCGAGTTCTTCTCAGTCGGAGCGAGGCAAATAGCTACTGCAAAAAATTAGTGATTTGAAGTAATCAGCCTCTCGTCTGTATGTACTGCTCTTTTCGGTTCTGAAGGAGTCCTCCTCAGAGGATTTAGGGGGTCATAACTATTTTGATAGTAGAGTATGTGATGGCTTCAAGGTTACCGTCATATTTGTTATGAACTTCTTGTTTTGTATTGTGATGCATAAAGCAAGATTTTTTGGCACGTCCTTTACTTTCAGGGGCAATACCAACAATGCTCGTATGTGCCCTGAGTACCAGCAAATAGGTGTCTTGTTCCTTCAAAAAACCGTATGATCATGCCAAACCTCTGAGCAAAAGGAAGTGTAATGTTATCACGGTGTACATACCAAACAATTCATGATTCGAAGCGAGCGAAGATGATCTGAAAGCTGAGATACCATTTTAGCTTGAAGCAATTTCATGCACATTTTATTTCACGAGAAAGAAAAAGTGCTGAGGGAGAGAGAGAGAGAGAGACAGACAGACATCAGGGCATTCCAGAAAAATGCAATAATTCGCATCGATGTAAGGATATTTACGTTAGATACAAAACCATTCAATTTACAACCAACCAGCTTATGTTTCTCTTCTTTTCCCAACTCTCAGCTCCTTCTCAGTAAAAAATGAAAGCAGGCTCTAAAAGGGAGCCTACTGCTTTTGAATTTCCTCAGCGGATGATTGGCTGATAGAAGAACTTGAAGATGAGTGCTCCGATTCGGAAGAATTTGATGATTGATTCTGTGAGGCACTCTGCTCACCGTCTACTGGCGATGATTGGAACTTTAAGGGTCTTTCAAAATCCTGGGCGTTCTTCCGGTCAATTACCAGTTTATCAAATTTCTGGTCCTGCAACAATCAAAAGTAAATGAATACATCAAACATGATGATGTATAAAAACCCCGGAGGCAGCTCATTCTCCTTATGAATGAGTGAACTCATACACGTAGATTTGTCTTGATCTTCATGTATGTAGATTGTACACAGCACAACAAGAAGATCCAACAAAACAAGAATCCAGAATATCTACCGAAGAAATAAAAAAAATATGTTACAAAAAACACAAAAGACTGAGAATTGTCAAGATTTGACACTTAACCCATTTTTTGGAAAGTCCAATTTTCCCATGAGACTGATTAAATTTGAGTCATTTTTAGCATGGACACAAGCAGTGAGCACAATAGAATGACATGAATCACACTTCTGAATACATAATGGTGTTTAAAGCAAGCAGAACATAAAACCTAGAACACGAACTGAAGATAATCATTTGCAATATGCAAATAAGGAAGTCCATTATCAACAACAGAACAGCTAATTGATTGACATGGAGAAATAGTGCTTACCATCTGTAGAGCTTCCAGTTTCCTTTGCAGTTCCTCATGTTCAGCTTGTATACGGAAGGGAACGCCATGCTTCTGATACACATTAGTTTGTGCCAAGTCTTCATCTATGTCACTCGCCGTGGTTGCAAAAGGATGATTCACAGGAATCCACCTCACCGTGTCAGGATCGACATCAGGCGGTATCATATCACCTTCTTTCAGAAACATGGTGGGCCTCTTCCACTGATAAGCCCGTGACCTTCTCTTCTTATGAATTGCCTGTTGCTCTTTAGTAAGTGTAACTGGAGCCAACCGATAAACCTTTCCACACATCTCCAGCGTTGAGTTACTCTTACCAACTTTGACTAGTGGGTTGTTGAATGGATCGTCATACTTGAGGGGCCTGGAGCTGTGATGAAAATCACAGGGGATGTTAAAACAACTGTTCATGAGGCGAAACACAGGCTGAATGGTACAGAGACATACACAATCCAGAGATGAATGCACCAAAAAAGATGTGCCAGGAAAAAAGAATTAGAGGATTAGTAATCATACATGCCTCTTCTATCAGATCTCAACTGCCCACGTCTCACAAGATCAGCTACAGAGCCCGAACGATTGTAGTTCGCCTTCCTTGCTTTCAAGACTCTCACAGCAATGAACACAAATGCAGTCACAATGCATAACCCAAAAGCAAATCCAGCACGAGACTTTCTTTTCATCTGATAAGCAAGAAACACCCACAAAGGAATTAGAACGAACGCCCGAACTCTCTCAACAGAAAAGTAAACTCACTAAGTTAAGCCAAACCCACCCAAAACATCGCCTATTTCAGATGGTTCCGATCACAGATTAAACCAATTCAAGTTCCAACAACCAGTAGGAGACAAACGCAACATTTCAGATGATTCATTCACCACATAAGCGAGAAAGCTTTACAATAACAAACAGCATCGTAGAGCTCTAACAAGTGCAAACAGTAAAAAATTTCATTTTTTCCATGCGTTCATTCCCGCTTCTTCCTTAAGAGCTGAAATCAACCCCCAGTGAAATGAAAATGAGAGAGTAAAGAGAGAGATTTTACCACGTAAACAACCGGTGGCCAAGAAGTGACAATGCCATGGAATTTAGCAAGTGGGTCTCCTTCCTCTGACTTAACGACCTCTTCTTGATCAGACCTGGGTTCGCCGGAGCTCACTGGATCCACAACCGCCCTCAGCACGAACCTTCTGTCGGATCTAACCACATCCCACCTCACATTCTCACGCTTCAACCCGAACTCCGTTCTCAAATCCCAGAGAACCCGGCGCTTCAAGACGCAAACGCAAGGCTGCTGCACGGCACAAACCCACACGCAGTCAAAAAGCTTTTTATGGGAAGAGAGAGAAATGGTAAAAAAAAACCCATGGGAACTGCGACGTTTGACGCCACCTGAAGAGAGGCAGAAGGAACGTGAAGGGACCAAACCGAGGACATGCTGGGAAGGGCATGACGGGAGCGATGATGGGTCTGAGAAAATGTCATGGTTGCGGTCATGTGGGAGCGAGAGTTCTTTAGGGTTCTTGATTTACCATTGCCAATTTGCAAAAGCAGCGAGATTGATCGCTTTGGTCACCAGATCCTTGACAGAGTGATATAGAACTTCTGTGGACAATATAACAACCGTGGATCCGTGGCGCAATGGTAGCGCGTCTGACTCCAGATCAGAAGGTTGCGTGTTCGATTCACGTCGGGTTCAATCCCCACCATTTTTTGCATTTTTTGGTTGGATCGTGTGTGGATCTTTCTCATAATTGTTCAATGCAGAATAAAATTAACTCACTCATAGAATTACGATTTGCTGCGGTATTATCAACAAGATTTCTCGATTCTTGAGAAGTTAGCAAGATGATCGATCACGACATCGATACACCTTCGTTTTAAACTGTAAGGAAGCATAACCGGACTCGATGCAGAGAAGCACGCGATGCAGACAATTAATCTTTCATGTACGACAAGTGAGGTATAGAGGAACGACACATAAATTGGAGTCGCATGAATATATATACTCAACCATCAAGTAATGTAATTTACAGGTTTCGCATTCTGTGATCAAGTCATCACTCATCAGTAAGCAAGAGAATCAACTTTCCAACACATTTGCAAGTAATATGACCAAGCACAATCAGGTGCTGACTGGGGAGCAGAACTTTGGTACCCTACAAACCACTCCACAATTGTACACAAAATTTTTGAGAATACTACCTACAAGATTCGGTTCCTGGGTTTTTTTTTTTGCTTCGGAAAGTACTCGAGCCGATGCAGAAACAAGGCATGTGGCTCGACAGATGATGGCATTGACTTCCCTTTTATCAGTTTGCGGGATAAATAGTACCTAATCAAGAAACAAGGACACCCCCACAACCACAACAAACATCCACCTTCGACTTTGGAGGGCATCGTGGCGAGACGATTCTCAGCATGCTCGCAGTTTTTATGAGAAAATTGCAACTGCCGAAGCTAATTATATGATTAAGGACTGGACAGTAGATCTTGCTGACGGAACGGAAAGCCTTTTTCATTATTCTGGGGATTGCGTTCCCCAGGAACATCCACGCTAGCTGTGATGCTAGCAGCATTGGTGTCCAGAGACCGTGTGTCGTTATCCGAGGGACGGATCTTTCTAGGATGAGTTTGGTGTGCATGTGTTGGTGAATGCTCGGGCGAATCTCCAGGGCTTCCACCCAGAGTCCTAGTCTGAGGTTCTGCTTTCCCATCAGTCTTCTTCTTTAAGGCGTTCTTGTGCCACTGTTTCAGGGCCTTCGAAGTTTGTTCGTCAAAGATCGATCTCTTCATGGTCGATCCCATCTGATATTCCCAAATGAGGTGGAAAATGCATACATGATTAGCAATCTTCTTGTCTTCTTAATGCAATGTATGCCAGACATTATGGCAAGCACGCAACCATTTGCATTTCAGACTAGGTGAGGCTATTTACTGACTCCTAAAAATCTCCTGAGTTTGCTTTATATTTTGCATCTACCGTAAAAATTTCCTATAAAAATGCAAAGAAACACATTTAGCTAGCACCAGTTTATATGGAGGGATGCGGCAGCAGTCCCTTACCTGAGTGACAAGAGCATATAGGGGGAGTGTGCTGTAACTGCAGAGAATTTGGACCCCAACCCTGAGAGATTAAAGCTATCGTTCATTGTTCAGTCATTTGCATGAAAATTACACAGTAAGCTTGAAAGAATACTTTTGGAACAACTTGATTCGTACATACTAAGGTGGAAATCATATACAAAGTATAATGGCTTACCCCAGTGCAACCCGTATCACGACAAGGGTAAAATTGTCGTGAAAGCAGGATTTCAGACCGAATTCATACTGCATCAAGAGGAAGATTTAGAAAAACCAACTCGCAAAATGAATGAATTCAATGGTTAGAAATTGGAGTTCATTAGTTACCCAAATCCAAAAGAAGTAGGTAATCTCGAATGCGTTCTGCACAGGATGTACAAACTAGTGAGGGAGTCTCCACAAAGCATGATATTAAAGAAATGCAAGGCTAACGAGAACAAGAGCTATACAATAACATCATGACATGCCGTTGCCCAGTAAGAAAGTTACTATGCCCATTGCAGTGTCATTGCAGATATGCAAGTGAGTAGGTAGCATCTAAACATTTGTTTAACTCGATCACTACTGCCCAATAATCCCAACTTCCAAATAAAGGAGAATTTATTACCTGAAATAGGACGAAATGGATTAGATATAGCACTAACTGTGGCCAACCAAACCAAAAATGCCGGTCGGAGACTTGTACGAGGGGTATCCCTTGAACTACAGCGTGTCTCTCTTGGATCTCAAGAGCCATCTGTGTTATGATAGATTGCAATTTCGTCCCGACAGCTAAGATCACCTTCAAGAAAGTACAAAAATGATATCTCAAACATAGCGAAACAAAAGAAAGCAAGGCTTCTTCCAATAGTCAAACATAACTTAAACATTTACTGTCAAAAATTTTCTTACCACTACAGGTAGAATAGACAGCCAAAACATAGCTTGCCAACCTGGAAAGTCAGATGGTTATGAACGAACTCCTTAACTTATAGATTAAACAGAAGCATAATTTATAGTAATGCTATATTTAATTTGATTGAGAGGAACTTTACCGTGGACATTCATAAGTAGGAAGATCACTACAGAAGCCCACAAAGGCGGACTGTCAAAACAACAGTAGAACTATGTCAGACAGTGATAATACTTGAAGACTCACCAAAGCATATGCAGCGAGAGACCTTGTTTAAAGATATAGTCGTTCCGATGCATTACCTGATTCCGACCACTACTTTGAAGTCATCTTCTAGTGACCGTTTTATGTACTTTTGAAAATCGAATTTGCTCCCCGGTGCTAAATGAACCTGTTAGAAGATAATAAAGAATTCACGAGGGAAATATGAACCGAAATGAATTTCGGAGGAACCCACCGTAACAAATCCATGTCTCATGGTCAAGTAGTCAGCCCTACGAACCGCCCGAAAAAATTGCCGGAAAAAGCATACCTGTACAGATGATCTTTCAATGACTCTCCAGAACTAACTTTTGTGACTCTGTGAATCGAAACATCCATATCTAACTTTTGTGAATCGAAAAGCTGACAAGGGGAAGAGAAAATGCTGCAAAAATCACTTACGATATAAAAGAGAAACGGTGTCTTGTTCCCCAAGTGACTGTGTTCTCTTACAAACGATGTCTCATGGGTGAGCCTAAACCTTGAAGGATCTGGAAAAGCATGAAAAGACCTCCATTATTCAGCCCCAAATATGGAACTCTTTGATGATTCTATGAGGAAAAACCCGCAGCTATGTAAGTGTACATGAGCTTTATGCTTTCAATCAGGGGAGATTACAGATTCCACATTGGGAATCAATAACGTGCACTTTCATACCGTTCAAGAACTCAAAATCAGTCATTGTCTCCCGCTCCCACACTTTCCATCCGCGAATCTGCATTGAGAAAATTCGAATTCGCTCCTTAGAATTGTTGCAAGTTTAGAAAGTGGACTACATTGTGAATTTTCAGATTCTTTTATTACCTTCAATCTTCCAAGTGTCATGGTCACTGCGCTATATAGAACATGGAACACTGCTAGAAAGAAAATGAAAATGTGTAACTGATGCAACGCATTAACGGAGACCATTGACACGTACCCCTACAATAAGACAACTATTAGTAAAGATCTAGGAGAAAGTTTGCACATATAGTAAGCAATTGTATTTTATGATCTAGCAATCTGCATAGGAAACTAAGACAGAATTGAAAGACTGATCACAATTTATAAACAACCATTTCCAGAAAATTCTTTTGCAGAAAAGAAATACGAGTTTTCCATGGAAATGGAGCGCTAATGCTGTCATACATGTGACAGACTAGAGAGGCAATTGCTCAGGAGTAAAACCAGTGCAGTGACTCGGGTAATTTATTTACTAACTAGGTTAGGGGCATGATGGAAGTGATTCACATCTGAAAATTAAAAGAAAAGCACTTGAACATGTGCCAAGATAGTGTACCATCCAGATTTTTAAGAAACGGTGCTCAAATATTGGCCCAAAAATTTGTATAGCTGATAGGTCATTAAATGAGATGAATGACAAAGTCCAAAGCAAAGGACCACGATGTACTCATCCCCGTTCTGTAATACACTTCCTTCAAAATCATATTTCTTCTAGTTTCGAATGATCAACCTTCCAATGAACCAAATTATAATGTGTGATTGCCCTGCCTCCTTACTTTTGCCAATTTTGTTTTGGCACTCATACTTTGTCCAAGTTTGGTGAGAAAGTTATACACTGCAAATATTCGAACACCAACCCTCAAAGCACCATTAGCAAATCATACTTACCGCTTTACAACCTGCGCCTCCACTGTCAGCCGCTAAGATCCTATGCACGTACCAGAGGAGCCGGCGGTGATGTTCACCGCCGCTGTCTCCTCCTCCTCCTGCTTCTGCTACTTCTCCTCCTCCTCCCCCCTTCTCACCAGCCTCATTGTCTCCATATTGGCTAGAGTGAGCAAGGGGGCATGGTAACATCGTATCTGCCGCATGTTCTGGAATGCAGACTTTAGCTATGTAGTTTTGCCCGAACGTCAATAGCAGCGAAATAAATCCCAGAACCATGAGTTCTGCAGCATTAAAACCAGATTAAGTGGCTACACAAGTGATTTTTGCAAATTGGAAAAGGAAAAACGATTAACATATACGGTTGTACAAGCGGAAAGCCTAAAAGCATAATGTCAAGAAGCAAATAGAAGCAGCAGCCTCACCTCCTTTCAGCTTTTCAAGCGCTTCTAACATGGCCGCCTTACGCTTTTTACGAAATATCTATTGGATGCACAACATGAGTTACTAAAATGAACCATAAGGAAAACAGCGATAGGAAGATGGACAAAGCTCGGTAAAAGAAGAAAGGTTCAGAAGTATATTTAGATGTCAAATCTATGACATCTTGTTTCTTCCCAGTTCACGAAGAAACGCATCATTAAACCAAAATTTGATTGACATACTTTGAATATCACAAAAGGCGATGTCAGCTAGGTTTAACAAAAAGGAGTCTGACCCTCTTGCTTTGCCCGCGATCCAATGGAACCGCAAGAATGCAAGAGAAGGGAAAGATGCATATTACATGAGCATGCCAAAAGCGTCAAACAAGAATGAGTTCCATCTATTACCGTTCCCACAGAATGAAGAACCTTCTCTAATAAGATGGAAATCAAGACGATGCCAGCGCAAACAGCCGAGACAGCCCACGTCGGCGTCTGATCGAGCTCCCTCGATCCGGCGGTTGCGCCACCTCCGGCCATTTCTAAATTAGCTCAAACAAAACTTAGATCATCCAACTCTAATGCCGATCGATCTCTTCAAGAACAAAAAAAAAAAAAAAGGTAACAGTCACATTCATTCAAAGTTTCGGCAGCAGCATGAAGAAAGTGAAATGAATTCTAGAATTTGCTGAAATCACAAAAACCAACTTCTTTCCCCCCCCCCCGCTCTCCTTTGTTCTTATCTTTCGTCCCGGGTACATTGGCCTAATGGAGGTTTTTCTCTCCCCCCCTCTCATAACGGTATTCAAGCAGGGGATGTACGGAGAGACTCATTCGGCGGTTGTTCATCAAGAATGACCCGATTCTCGCAGCCTAATTTCGAGTTTGCCCCTTCCTCAAAGCCCACAAACGCAGGAGAGTTAATAGGGAATTTAGTTACACCATGTCCAATTATAGGATAGCCCCCCACACACGCACACGCACACACGAAGTGTCTTTTCTTTCAATCGTTAAAAAGGAGTCTTGTCTTTCTTTGCAAAAATGAAAAAAAAAAAAAAAAATGGGCGAAGCCCTTCAAACCGGAGTTTCAAAGAACTTCCATGGAAGAGAAGAAGAGAGATCATTACTTGGGGTGATCGACATTGCCTTGCTAATTATTACTGTTAGGGGGCTCAAAGAACACTATCTGGGCTTAACATCAACCTTGACACCCAAAAAAAATAATAAAAAATATATACCATGAGCGAATGCGCTAAGGCATGACAAACATCTCAAATCAGCAACGACGACCGGCGGAGGGGAGATGCAAAAAAATTACGTGGGTTCTGGTTTCCTCTACAACGTACCCGAAACTTTAGCTGGGTATAAAGAGGACAGTTTTCATGCAAAGGCAAAGGACCTCCGAGACACAAACTGTGTTAACTGAACATCCGTCCATTCATGTTGTTGCGGAGGCGAATGAGACGGCCGTGAATTTCTTAGCGCGAACAAGATCGAAAAGAGAAACTTCGAGTGGAAGATAAAGTAATAGTAACATTTCAAAAAATTAATGTCGCCGTTGCCGGGGATCGAACCCGGGTCACCCGCGTGACAGGCGGGAATACTCACCACTATACTACAACGACTTGCTTTGCTCCCTTAAGCGTATATATATTATACATAACTATAAATTAATACTGATTGGTAGTATTTTTAAGAAGAACTTTTAATTTGTTCAATGTAATCCCTAACTTTACATCGATGTGTAATATAGTCCATGAACTTTAATTTATTCATTATGATCCATAAATTTTTTTGTATATATTCAATTTAATCTCTCGAACATATGAAAATATTCAATACTGCCCTTCTATTAATCCAAGTTCAAGAGTTAAATTGAATATTTTCATATAATTCAAGTGCTAAATTGAACATAAACCAAAAGCCATGGGGCCACGTCGGATCAAAGTTGAAGAATCATTTGTATTATTTTTTTTCCTTTTTAAGAGTATCCATCTCCTGGAATCTGTTATTACACTAGTCACATTACTCTGCGCAAGAACAGAAGTATCTGTCAACGGAGACTTTAGACTAAGGTTTTTATGTCTTTTACACTTCCCGGCCTTGCTGGCCATACGACAAAATAAGAACCGCTAAACCACTTTTGCCTATCTCACGTTGCTTTTCCACGTTCCAGTAAATGCTAAGAATTCCAAGTTTTTGCGATCCTCTGAACTAGGGGTGTGCAAAAAACCCAGGACCGCCCGGGACCGGACCGGAACCGGTGGTTCCCAAGGGGACCGGTCCGGTTCCCGATTCCAATTTTTTGGAACCGGTGGGTATCGGTCCGGTTCCCAGTTCCCGATGTGGAACCGCCCACCCGGACAGGACCTGTAATATAATAATAATATATTTATTTTTTAAATTTTTAATTAAAAAAATCTGACCAAAAAAAAATTAAAAAGAAAAAAAGAAAGACGTAACTAGACACTCATAACTCTCTGCTCTCTTATCTCTGGACACTCATTTGATGGGTACCCATTTGATTTATGGATAATGTGGTTAATAGAACCGATCATTGTATAGGAATTGTATGAAAAGTTATGTTCTTTTCTTTTTGTTCCGTTGATCCGATGTTGGTCCACATATTTTTTATTTATTTATCCAGGAAAACTTGGTGGGACCGATTCCATGGACCAGCCCGGGAACCGGACCGGACTGGCGGTCCGGTTCTCTGGCGGGTCCATGAAATCGACGGGCGGTCCTCAGTCCCAAAATTGAGGACCAACACTGTGCGGGTTGGCCCTAGGGTTAGGGGGTGGACCGGCCCAACCCGGACCATGCTCACCCCTACTCTAAACCAAGCTCGGTGACGAAATCGCGGTAATTTTGATAGCAAGGCCTTACGCCATTAACAAAAAGAAAAGTTCATATTAATCGGATCAGTCAACTTAGAACTGTAGTATAAGGTCTTACGAATTCAAGATTGCTTCGTCAATCTAAAATATGTACCCGCGTAGAAGCTTGAAAGGGAAAATGTAGCTTTTGATAGAATGGATGAGAGAAAGCATTCGATGCAATTAAGTGTACATGGACCAACTAATCACCTAAAACCTGCACAAGGAAATGGAGTGGACTCGAAGATAATGGGTCCTCTAAAATCTACGCTCGAACAAGGTGCTCATCCGACTGCTCAAGGGAACTGAGACGGTCGTTGGCAATCACTCGGAAGGAAAACGGGTAGTTGACCACCCCTCTGCGATCTACCCTGCTGATAATAATTTGATGTCGACCCTCTTTCCCGGTTAGCGGCCACAATCCCACTCCCTGTTCCTCTGTTTCGCTGTTCATTGACGAGGGGGCCGCTGAAGAATATCGATTGACCGGTGTATAGAAGCTCGGCCCCTGGTATCTGCGACGAGCCGACACCTTTGGACGATGATACGAACCGCCCTGCTTCTTGATCCCAAAACACTGAAGATTTCGTGCTCTCAGCTGCACCCGAGTTTTTCCTGCCATGATTTTGGGGCACATTTTCGCAGAGAGAATTTTCGTTCCCTTCACTTTGTTTGGCTGACCATGGAGATTGGCATACTGATGACTGATATATCGGGTTGAAGTGATCTCGGTTCGGAATTCGGTTGTCCAAAGGAGAAGTAGTAAGATTGGAGAGGTGAGGACTGCTCATGTTGCTAAGACTCTGAGCACAGGCTTCTGAATCTTCCCTACTAGCCCGGCTTGGTGGATATGAACTTTTGGCTCGTGATGTCCCTGCTCTAGCATTTCTATGGTGAAACCCTAGGTCAGAACTGACAGGGCTACTTCTTCCACTAATGTTGCTGCTGGATAAGCGGTCTGCATCATATGGATGATGTCGAGAACTTACGGGACGTAGAACGGATGAAGACGCTCTCGCTTTAGCACCTGCTTTGACTGCCTCCTTAGAGTCTAACTTTGCAAGCTTCCATGCACTTATGCGAACAGGTCGTTGGGGCATCTTTCTCCCCTTGTCCGAAGGTTGTGTAGCGTCTGGATCAACTGTCGAGGGGAGGCGTCCTGGCTCCAAGTGTGGGATAATTTCATCCTGCTCAATGAAACAAGAGAAAACATGTTTGGCCCGAAGAGTCATCTTGATCTATAACAAATATTCCAGCGCCATACGCATACACGCAGGTGAAGAGAAAGCACCATTTTACAATTAACCCAATTGTCGATCTAGCTTCAAATTTATTTCTTGTACCAGACAAAATGCTTTTGAATCTTATTATTCATGTATATCGGAATAACAAATACGGACACAACATTAGCTTTATAATATAAGTTCCCTCCTAGTACACATACTTTTCTAAATTCCTCCAGGCAAGCCCAACAAATTGTTGCGCAATAACAGCTTTAAGTGCATCTGCATACTGAACAAATACCTGGTTATCCATGAAAATTCTTGGAGGGGTACACCAAGCACCTCTATATTGCAAGCCTATTCCAAGAGAGCTTCTTCCACTAACAGCAGTGACAGCTGAACCAGTTGGGGAAGAAGCAATACTTTGCGGATCACCACCTACAGATGGTCCAGGCGCTTCACTCTGTGTTCTCATTGCAACTACATACTCATATGTCGTTATACCCTACATCAAGTGAATGAGTATACTATAATGCCGATTGGAAGAATGCTGGCTAGGAAGAGGCTTTTTTTTTTTTTTTTTTATGAAGGAAGAGGCATAATTCATTGCCAAACCTTTCTAATTAGAATCATGTGGAAGAAGAATAGCTCTCCGATAGGGACAGTGGCCAGACAAGAAACAGCAGTGCATAGGGTCTGCAAGGAAAGAACCCGTGATAAAGCAATATCATCTCCATAACTAATTGTGTTGAGTAAAGCAAGTTGCTCAGAGGTCATCCTTAATTTCAGGATAGTCAGCAGCAGAGTAGAACATCAAAGAGTCTCTGACCTGACTCCACCAAAGCATACACAGAATAGTTCAACCCAAAGAATTAAGGGTACTTCAAATAAACAACAATGTATGAAGAGCATGAGAGAGTCAGTTGACTGACCAAATGATACCCATTTTTTCATTCATATAAATATAGTTATGTAATAAAACGAAGAGGCAAAGGATAGCAAACAACATACCACCACAATGACAAAGGGAATCCGCGTGAATCCGATTCCAAGCCTGTCAATTATCTGATCTTCAGTGCCCCTTTTATCAACAAAGCACCGGACGAGGACAGCAACTCCCACACCAAATTCAACGACAAGCTGATGCAGATAAAGGCACAAGCAAATGCATCAGTCCATTTAAGAAAAGTAATTAGGGAAATGTGACTAGGAGGAGAAAACTAACATATCTGTAGGTAAATTGAAGTTATGGACAGTTGACAATGAACGAAAACTCACCCAAGTAAGGCTTACAGCCATAAGACACACAAAGGTGACATAATTTTTCCTTCCCACGCAATTATTCAACCACTGAAAAGAAGGTGCAATACGGTCAGACAGTCCCCAACACAGAAAAGCTAACATAAGCATAACATCTCAAAACACCGGTGCAAATGATGGTAAGAAATGCAGCATTAAGGGACCTGATCCTATTGATGCGGGAGCCTAATTCAGTTTTTACAATATAAGGTCTTTTCTGTTTCATGCCTTCTATTACTTTTTAGGTTAATAAATAGTCACGTGCCAATCATGTCACTTTTAATGAGCTCCAGCTGTTTAAATTAGAATTCTTATTTAAGATCATGGGTTGAGATCGTCTTTCGTCTGTAAGCCTAGTATATATAGGTCTCTAAGTCTTTTTGTCATTAGTTTTTTCTTCATTCAATAAATATCATTAATTTTTATAAACCCTAGAATAATTTTCTCTGTTCCAGCTTCAATTTAACTCTATTTTAGCCCCTTTCTTCATTCTTTTTGCTATCTTTATTTCTCCAACTACGTCAATTGGCATCGGAATGTTAGGCTTTTTCCCTACATCACTACTGCAAATACAGAGACCGTGTTCTTATAGACCCATCCCTATGTTAATACATCCATGGAAACTATAGACGTTAATCATCATAAGGCCATTGACGAGCACACAGAACTTACTCGACAATGATGATCAAATCCATCAACACATTTGGCACAGCTTCTGCAGTGTTTGCTAAACTTGCGTACCTGTGAGAAACGAAATCCAAGCTCTTGAGTAAGTCATTTGTCACTCTTCTTTCCGAATGTACCGCATAAAGCAGGGTAAAATCACCAATAGGATTCAACCAAACAAATTGAAAAACTATTCATGTGAACAGAAAATATTGTATCCCATGGAACTAAGCACTTTTGTATGGAAAATGAAACAACAATGAAACGTCCGAAGAAGTATCAATCTATCTTTGCTGGGTTAAGCGCAATAAAACAACAGCAAAAAATAGGCTGTTCCTGTCCAATGGGATCAAGCATATAAATTTTTTATAAGAGGCAACCTTTTGTTTTTATCAGTGAAA